CCTTCCTTTCCCTTTCCCTTTCCCTTTCCCTTTCCCTTCCCTTTCCCTTCCTTTCCCTTTCCCTTTCCCTTTCCCTTTCCCTTTCCCTTCCCTTTCCCTTTCCCTTTCCCTTCCCTTCCCTTCCCCTTCCCTTCCCCTTCCCATCTCCCCAGCACCCAGCACTGATGGATCCCCCCCCCCTGGGGTCTGGGGGCTGCAGGGAGGGTCCCACACCCCCAGCAATGATCCCAGTTGGGATTCCCCACTTCCCACCCGAGGCTCAGGGGGTCCCTGGGATGCTCCTCCCCTGCAGACCCTGCCTGGTCCCAGCTGCTGTGCCAGAAGAATTCCCACCTGCCCAGCCCTGTTCCCACCCCGGCTGTAACCGATGCCCCGGGTGGGTGTCAGAGCCCCCCCCTCCCCGTGCCAGGGGGTCCCAGCAGGGGGGGGTTTGGCAGCAGCTGGGGAGGATCCTGCCCTGGGACACGACTTGGTTTTTTTTAAACAACATTTTTTCCACTCCCTGGTTATCCCTGGTTATCCCTGGTTACCAGGGAACCAGGACCCAGGGCACAAACACTGGGCAGGGAAGGAGCTGCAAAAGCCCCCGTGGACCCCGGGAGCAGAGAGAGAAATAAGGGAAACTAAAACCTTCCTCTTCCTCTTCCTCTTCCTCCTCCTCCTCCTCCTCCAGTGGCTGCTGATTTAATTCCAGGTGGGATTGGAACCCCAGCTGGGAATCAGCCTTTGTTTCCCATCCCTCTGCCCGTTGTTCCCCAGGGAAGAGGCACTGATAGATTGCACCCCCACCCTGGGGAACTGGGACCAGTTCTGGAGCCCCCAGCACAGGAAGGACATGGAGCTGGTGGAGAGAGGCCAGAGGAGGCCCTGGAGATGCTGGGAGGGCTGGAGCAGCTCTGGAGCCAGGCTGGGAGAGTTGGGGTGTTGAGCCTGGAGAGGAGAAGGCTCCAGGGAGACCTTAGAGCAGCTTCCAGGGCCTGAAGGGGCTCCAGGAAAGCTGGGGAGGGACTTGGGCCAAGGGCAGGGAGGGATGGGATGAGGGGGAGGGATGAAAAGTGGGAGAGGGAGCTGGAGGTTGGAGCTGAGGAGGGAATTGTGGAGTGTGAGGGTGGGGAGAGCCGGGGCCAGGTTGCCCAGGGAAGCTGTGGCTGCCCCATCCCTGGGGGTGTTGAAGGGCAGGTTGGATGGGGCTTGGAGCAGCCTGGGCTGCCTGCCCATGGGGGGTGGGACTGGATGATCTTGAAGGTCCCTCCATCCCAACCCAGCCTATGATTCAAGTTTGTCCTGCCACAAACAGCCCAGATCCCTCCTGATCTCCCCAGCTCCCTGGGGAGCAGCTCAGCAGGTCCCACAAACCCCCCCAGCCCTGCCTGGTGCAGCAGGAGGGCTCAGGTGGGGAGAGTTGGGGAAACCCTTTTCCTCCCTAAATACCCCAACTGGGCCAGAGCTGCCCCTGCAGGAACTGGGAAGGATTCCCCTGTTTGGAGCTCGGTGGTACCTGGAGGGGGGGGGTTGGTTCATCCCCTGCTGCTCCATCTGCTCTCCCAGGCTCTGGGGGTGAAGACCCTGCAGGTCTCTGGGGTCCCTCCCTTCTCTGAGGAGCAAAACCTGGGAAAAAGAGCAGGGATGAGGAGGGTTAGGAGGCTGCTCTGCAGGGGCTCCCCAAGAGCTCCAGGGGTGCTGGGGGCACCCAAGGACCTGGGAGCAATCCCAGCCCCCCAGCCCTGGCTGCCACGGCTCCTCTGTGGACAGGGCCCTGGAAAAACCTGAGCTGGGTGATTCCCCCCCAAATTTCCCCTCCCAGTAGGACCAGGGGTTGGAGCAGCAGCTCCTGAGTCCCTGGGAG